AAATGACTGAGAAACGAGGCACGGTTCATTAACAGTCGACATTATTAATGTGTGAATCTAATAAATGAGAATTAACTGTGTTTAATGAAGAAGCATCTTAAATTAGAATGAATCCTGGTCCAAGAAAATGTAGCTTATAGAAATGTTGTTTTGAAATGTTTGAGAAGTTTTCTTGTTGCAATTATAACGTTATTAAAAGGTTACAAAAACGTTTCTTACAACATTCTACTAACTATATTTTTGGCCAAATGAATTTTTATATTTAATATTCTAAGAACGTTAAAATGGCAATTTTTCTTGTGATAACGTTATTTAAAAATGTTTGTTACAACGTTTTACTAGCGTTATTTTCATACGAAATGTAACATTATTTGAACGTTTATTTTTTATATTCAAAGAACGTTAAAATGTCCTGTTTTCTTGTTGCGGTTCCAGCGTTATGAAGTTTTCTTGTTGCAATTATAACGTTATTAAAAGGTTACAAAAACGTTTCTTACAACATTCTACTAACTATATTTTTAGCCAAATGAATTGAATTTTTATATTTAATATTCTAAGAACGTTAAAATGGCAATTTTTCTTGTGATTATAACGTTATTTAAATATGTTTGTTACAACGTTTTACTAGCGTTATTTTCATACGAAATGTAACATTATTTGAACGTTTATTTTTTATATTCAAAGAACGTTAAAATGTCCTGTTTTCTTGTTGCGGTTTCAGCGTTATTTAAAGGTTGCACTAAATGTTTCTTACAACGTTCAGTCAAGTATAACATCATAAAAATGTTATGAGAACGTGTATCAAATATTAATAAAGTTCCATAAACATTACTTTAAGAACGTTAAATATAACTTTAAAAAAAAAACATTGAACATTGTGAGATCCTTCAATATAAGTCTTTTTTATCACTTTTTATCAATTTAACACATCCTTGCTGAATAAAAGCATTCATTTCTTTCAAGAATAAAAATAAAGAAAATAATGACTGACCCCAAACTTTTGAACAATATTGTTACAAAAGATTTCTATTTTGAATAAATGCTCTTCTTTTTAACTTTTTATTCATCAAAGAATTCTGAAAAAAGTATCACTGGTTCCAAAAAAATATGAAGCAGCAAAACTGTAATAAATCAGCATATTATACTGATTTCTGAAGATCATGTGACACTGATGATGCTGAAAATACAGCTGCGCATCACAGAAATAAATTACAGTTTAATGTATATTAAAATAGAAAACAGCTGTTTGAAATGGTAATAATATTTCACAATATTCCTGTTTTTTTCTATATTTCTGCTGATTTTTTTTTTCATCTGAGAGCGATATGAGTGTGAATCTACTGCCCTCGTGTGTCTGCTCAGCGTAATGTTGGATTAAAAATATACACGACTATTGTTTTAATTACAAGAATTATAAATATTAGTATAAATTAAATTAAATTTATAATCTTTTATATGGTTTTATTTGCTGTTCTTCGAACATCTAGTTAACCCAGTCAGGATTACAAACCCACATAATGCAGAGTCAGACACTAACTCTCATTCTTCTCTTTGAAAACTGATCTGAACTGACTTTATGAAGAGAGTTTACACGCAGGCTATGCAATAAATGATATATTAATGTCTCAGACAGGTGATTTTCATATAAAACATCACACAGATCTGAAGAAACATTGATTTTTTTAAATTTACAAAATCACAGAAACACAAATCAAGCCATCAGAGCTTCATCTGTCACCACAAATATGAAGATTTTAATTGTCTCTTGCTGAAATACTGCACTAAATAATCATGCAGGTGAAATCGCTGTTCCCAGATCAGTATTAAACACACACACACACTCACACACACACACACACTCACACTCACACTCACACTCACACTCACACTCACACTCACACTCACACTCACACTCACACTCACACTCACACTCACACTCACACTCACACTCACACTCACACTCACACTCACACTCACACTCACACTCACACTCACACTCACACTCACACTCACACTCACACTCACACTCACACACACACACACACACACACTCACACTCACA